TGATCAAGGACGTAACTTGGGAGACAGTGGGAGCCCTTGGCTTCCCCTCCCCTCCCTGCCCTCCCCTCCTTTCCTTTCCTAAGGAGCTTATTGCTGAAGTCATCTTAATGCAAATGGTTGCGGGGGTGGGAAAGAGGGAATGCTGGAAGGAAGACGTCAATCGAAGCAGATTTGCACAAGGAGGCACCACGATGGAAGGAGGGGGAAACCACGGAAGGAAAGGAGGAGAAAAGATCCATAATTATTATTTTTTTTGCAGAAGTAGTGAAGTGGGGAAGGATTTGCCTCGTTTTTTCCCAGAGAGAAAGCAATCTTTAGTTGCAACTTGGCAAGACACAGTTCCTCTTCTAGGCCGTGATCCCTTATGACAGCTGCACTGAAAATCAGAAAACGTCCCAGCCTCTCCAGAGCATACACAACGAAAAATGAACAGCCACACGGAAGGAAGAGGCTGGACGATAGAAAACAGAGGGAAGGGACAGGGCGGTCCGGATTTGAGACACCCCAAACTGCAGAGAACTCTAGGAGAAGCGACTACGTTCAGAGCGCTAGCCGAAGGTGTTAAAAAACAGAGCAGAACAGAATAACCGAGTTGGAAGGGACCTTGGAGGTCTTCTAGTCCAACCCCCTGCTCAAGCAGTTTGCCCTATACCATTTCTCCAGAAATGTCTCCTTAGTTCCAGGTTGCTTCTCTCCTTGATTCGTTTCCATCCGTTGGTTCTTGTCTTGCTTTCTGGTGCTTCGGAAAACAAGTTGACCCCCTCCTCTTTGTGGCAGCCCCTCAAATATTGGAAGACTTCTATCATGTCCCCCCTGTTCCTTCTTTTCCTTAACCAATTCCTGCAACCGTCCTTCGTATGTTTTAGCCTCCAGGCCCGTAATCATCTTCCTTGCTCTTTTCTGCACTCTTGCTAGAGTCTCCACGTCTTTTTTATATTGTGGTGAGCAAAACTGGATGCAGCATTCCAAGTGTGGCCTCACCAAAGCTTTATAAAGAGGTACTAACACTCCGCATGATCTTGGTTCTTCTGTCCCTCTGTTAATGCAACCTGGGCTCGCGTTGGCTTTTTGGGCTGCTGCCACACACTGCTGCAAAGCATTTTATATTCAGATGTTTGGTCTTCAGAGAAGTGGGGGGGGAAAAAAACCCCATTGTTCCTTTGCATTGGCTGTGATTGTTTCTTTCACGTCAAATCCAAAAGCCCACTCGTGACTTCTTGGCAGCATGCATCATAAAGAAAGAAGCCATTATCTATCGGGAAGAAGAACGGCCAGCTCGTTCTGCCGAATTCGGCACAGCCACCCCAATTCCCTCTGATCATTAATGCTGAACAGAAGGAATGTTATCGTCTCTTTAAAGTCATCCTGAACTGAGGATGGAGGGGAGGGGGAGTGGAATTGGGTCTGTCCCTTTTGGAAAAGCAGAGCAAGATTGCCTCCACCTCTGAGTAACGCTAGCTAGCGTTGTTTCTGACGGAAATACCAGACGCTTTGATTGCCAGGAAACTTCCAAAGCATCGCAATTAACACTTCTTCCTCAAAGAAAAAGCTTCATTGGTTGAGTTGTGTTGTACACAAGCTGGAAAACCAGGCCACAATATAAGTGCACAACTGCTATACAAAAGGACCCCTCCTGTTTAAAAGACCTAACCGATGACCTTGACATGAAACCATTCAAGGTAGGCTTTGTTCATTTAGGGACCATTCGCACTTGCAACAGCACTGGAAAAAATTGACGTGCGACCGTTTTTCAGACTTACAACCGTTGCAGCATTCCCCCGTGGTCACGTGATCAAAATTTGGACACTTGGCAACTGACTCAGAGTTATGATGGTTGCAGAGTCCAAGGGTCATGTGATCCCCTTTTGCAGCCTTGCTCATCCTCACAAGAAATTATGGGAGTTGTGATAGCACAATGCCCAAAGTTTCAGTCTGTGGGGAGAGTGGAGGTTGATTGATCACTGTTTCTCAAGACGGACCACGAATCCATCTGCTGGGGTGCTTTCAACTATGACCAGCAGTTTCCCAGCTTCATAAGAAGTTGTAAATCAAGTGCATTTACTATCCTGCTGGGTTGCAGAACCATCCATCACTCTTCCATCTTCCTTCAGAGTTGCGAGGGTCACAAAAGTCTTCCTTCCAGCAAGCAGCCCACGTCTACGGTCGAAGTTCAGCAGGAGACACATAAAGTTGTGAGTTCAGCCCAGAGAT